ATCTCGCCCCAGTCCCAGTAATCCAGGACTCGGCATTCAGTACATCAGCTATTACATAGATTCGATTGTAAAAACCGAAAAATGCAAGAGAGGATGGGTTTTATAAGGTATGACAATGAATACCGAGTAACAAGGTCACAAACCTACCGTGTGTGTATAGGTATCAAAGCTAGCCCCGGCCTCGACAAGAAGACGGGCGGACTGTTCGCGATTCCAGTGAGCCGCGGCATGCAACGGGGTCCATCCATCGTTATCCTGGCAGTTCACATTCACACCGGGAAGTTTGAGCAACACTTCTAATACATCGGTATAGTCTTTACATGCAGCGACATGAAGAGGTGATGCTCCTGTTCGAGGGTCGATAACGGGCCTAAACAGGGAAACGATGGAATCATAAAGAGCGGAGAATCTACAAGAATCAAACGTCTGTCCATGTTCACACACACTGGTAAAGCGTCACATCTAATCTCTTAGGTGATGAGTTTTAAATAAGAAATTAGTGGTTGAAACTACAAACTATCGGTAAACGAGCATAAGAATGGAGGGTGCAGACAGTTCAAAAGCAATGGGCACACAAAAACCTTGACGTAGTCCCCCCCCCCCCGAACCGGACATCATAAATGCACTGACTGACAGCAGCCAACCGAAAGCTAACGATAAACGAAGACATGCAGGTGCGCATGTGTGTCCGTCGATTGTGATAACAAAACATCTGCCACGTCGAATAGTTTGTGTCCGAGAATGGGACAGCAATCCATGGCTACACCCACATAATGAATCGACACAAACTGCGTAAGAATGCACAAATCACGTGGTGTTTTATAATCAGCTTTATGGTGCTCCCCGGTGCAGACCAACAGTAACGCGAACGAAAGTAGGGCTAGGATTCGATTAACAGTGGCACTGTCAAGTCGAACGGATAGAGTTCAGTTGTTTTGGGAGTCGTTGAAGACAACGCAAAAAAGATTTCCCAAGGAATGCAGCCTGATAAGAAATAACCGTTGTCTGAATGTTAATGGCATAGAATCGAGGGGCTGCGAGTGTCAACAATCGCCGGTCACGTGTCCAACCCCGAATGAATTACTGGCACATGACTGTTCAGTCAGACAAAGCCATGTCACCAGATGGCTGAGCATGCGGTCATGAGCATGTAAGCGTTCAGCTGTAGCACCCTTCCGGTGCCTAGCTGCCATGCCACCCGAAGGAAGCACGAGGGCTGGGATACTGCCAGGTTGCCCAAGCCTAGACACGGGAAGTTGAGTGGCGGAGGTCGGATTCGAACCGCGGACCTTCAGGTTAGTAATCCGCGCTCTAACCACTTCGACTACGTGGAGATAACCATGATTATGTGGAGTTTGGCTGGTCTTTGACAGAATACACCCTGCGACAAGCCACCTACAGCAGGAGTTGAATGAATAGTGATCGGGTGACAGATCCAAAAGGAAACCAAACACACAATTATCAAGGATACTACTTTGATCAACTGGCGTGAAATGCAGCAGAAATTGCAGTGGATTTGGAGGACAACGGGAGTTTTTCTAGGGTGCCGTTTCGTCAGGATAGGTTTTCTACTCCATTATGCTCTTAATATGTGCGGCAAATAGTTCGAAGGGTTGATTGATAGAAATGCTATTTTAAGAAGGCTATGCAATTGTATTCTATGGGATCCTAATTGGATGGGGGATCAAGACTGGAAATCTGCAAAACGAACATTTCTGCAAAACGGAACTGAATCCAGCTTTGGATGAGGCGTCACACGCTGCCACACCATGTTCAATATCCCCATCCTTTCCCGTCTACCCAAGGGTAACGAGAATCAATCAAGTATTCTAGCGATTGGATGCACGTATAGGAATCTAGCCATTGATGGCAGTTTTTTTTCATTTCGTAACACGAGACGGCTTCGAAAATGAGGGTGACTGTGCTCAGTCTAAGAAGGTAATAAATGCAGAACATCGGAGTGCGTGTAGCAGAAATACCGACCTGCGATAAAATGCAAAGGTGTAGTACACTGACTGCCTAGGCACATCCTTTGTCTCCGACTTCCGATCACCTAGGGTCAGCGACAGTGCTATACTGTCATTAATCCATCAGTAGCCCTCCCACACAGCAAGCAATGAGGATGCCAAAAATGTGTACACAATGTGCGGCCTGGATGAGATCACCTACGCAAGTTATAGTGTTTTCTGTAACTAATGAGGACGTATGAAGGAATTTTTAAACGAAATGTAAACTTTAACGCAGAGAAAAACCGTAGCAGGTAGAACAGTCGAACAGTTCCCAGGAGCCTATTGCTACGATGAACGAAGTAAGCGGGAAATAGCTAGTCATCCCAAAATACAAGTTTTTCGACTTTCTTTCAGCCAGGAAATCGTACAGTCTGATAGCCAGCGACGAGCCAGTTGTTCGAACCTCGCGCCATACAAAAAAATCGTTCAGCAGCATCACCCATGCCACCAGAAGGAAGCACGAGGGCTGGGATACAGCCAGGTTGCCCAAGCCTACACAGAGGGAGTCGAGAGGCAGAGATCGGGTTCGAACTACGGACTGTCCGATCAGTAAATTTCGCGCTCTAACCAGTGAGCCGCATCTTGCCCTCCACACAAGTACTATGAAGTATACTCATCAGCGCTCAGTAGTGATGTGAAACTTCGTTCCAAAGACCATTGTTTGTAAATGATATGCGTTTAATTAATTAGTAGTTAGTTATTTTTCAATCGATCACGCGAACGCTGTAATTGAGCTGCACTTTTTGCATGGGATTCGCTCTACTTGGTCTTTTTTATAAAACATCGGCTGATTATTGTGTCTTCTGTGCTTAGAACTTTGGGTTACGACGTGGGGCTTCGTTGTTTAACACCAAAAACGCTTCGTATTTCTCCTCCCAGCCTGTTCATTTCTAAACCAGTCGTTTGTAAAAACCAACTTCGTCCAGTAACGAGTTTGAAAATGAGAGAATCGGGCGTATTTCAGAAAACCGACCGAATGTTAATGTACATAGGGGCGCTACGCAGAAAGCGCATTTTTAGATTAAATAATCCTTTGCACAGTAAGTTGTGGTTGACCGGAGACGACAGTTACCTTCTGGCTGCGCTGAACAAAAGTTGTCTCAACCGGAACGACATTGAAGATGTCCAAGTGTTTTCGCTAATATGACATTAAGTATAGGGTTGATAACTGGGGGTGAGATGGGTGAGTGATTAGAGCGCGAATCTACTGACCGGAAGGTCCGTGGTTTCAACCCGACCTCTGCCTCTCGACTTCCCCTGTTTAGGCTTGGGCAACCTTGCAGTGTCTCAGCCCTCGTGCCTGCTTCGGGTTGCATGGCAGCTAGTCACTGAGAGGGTGTTACAGCTGAACGATGATATCTACTCTTCAACAGTTCACTACCGAGTTCACCACTTTTGTGCCCGTCAACTTCTCCCAGTTATCGGATTTCCAAAAAACCTACTTTGTACTCGAAGAACGAACCGGAAAAAGGAAGAGTTAAGTGCCCATTTGCAAAGTGAAATGGGAGGCTGATCTGAATTTCTCGTTTATAAAAATATCATAAAATCGCCAACTTATATTGCATTATCCGAATCAGTGAGAGGACACAAGGACCCATTGGTTGGCCATAGTCATGGATGATCCCCGTGTCTATGCGCGCACATACCTGACACGCATCAGCACCGCACGTAGCGGTGTTACCAGCATTCGCGATCACAGCAGAGGTGGATTAAGTTGAATATGCTTAAAAGGGGAGAGTAAGGGTGAGAGTGAGGCGTGGGGTGATGGGATTGTGTCGGGTTAAATTGTGAGCTGCCAAAATTTCCTTGCTAAGGCGGTGTTGGGCTAAGTGACCGCATGACACTGCTGGTTTAGACCGAGCAATTAAACTAATCCCTATTTTGATGTGTTTTTGTTAGTGTCCCCGTTCAATCCTCTGCATGTGGTTTCCGCGTGAATACGCAACCATGCTAGTGTGTAATATGAATCTTTCTAGGCACAACATCGTGCATAAGGTCAATGAAAACTCTTCGACAAGCCTCGACCGGTTTCGCTCCTTTTAGAGGCTATCAACTTGGCGTAGTCTCCGAATTTCTGCCATCCTCACTGCCTACTTGAGCACCAATTTGTGCGTATGCGGGATATGCACATAGTTGTTCGCCAAAAGCGTGATGTTAGCAGTGCAACTGTTGGGATACGTACCATATGGACAGCGACAACTTTGACAGAAGCGCCCCAAACTTACATTGGGCTGGACTGGTTTCTCAAGACAGTTTGAGAACTGGTAACGTAAACAAAACATTTGGAACACTAGGTAGTATTCTCGAAAAAGTTATCTTTGCAGAGCGGCGACAATTTCCGAAGCTTACTGGTAAAGAGAGAAGAGTGTGTCACGACGAAACTGTATCTGCATAGTTTTACCCGAACAATTACAGTTTCTGAGGGGGACATGGCTCAAGTGGTTAGAGAGCGAATTTACTGACCGGAAGGTCTGTGGTTCGAACCCGACCTCTGCATCTCGACTTCTCCTGTCGAGGTTTTGACGACCAGGCAGTATCCCACCCCCTTGTGCTTCCTTCGGGTGGCATGGCAGCTAGGCACCGGAAGGGTGTTACAGCTGAATGATTTTTTTAAAATTACAGTTCGTAAGAAAACGTGTTCCCCTTTACATAGAAACCATACCCAACAGGTTTTCAATTTCCGAAGGGCACTTATTCTCGGGGTAGGCTGACCGTAGTTGATTTCGCCTCAAGAACTTGATACTTGTGACGTTGGTCATAAGTGTTTCTCCGTTCTACCAACGTGCTAAGGTCAAATACAACAATCAAGTAGTTCTGCTAGGATGGCCCCATAATTAAGGGAAGTTGTGAATTAACGTGCCGGTTGGAAAACAGTACATCCGACACGAAACAGCATTCAGAACAGTAGGGCTACCTGAGGTTCGACTAAACAGTTGCTCTGCCTTCCACGTGACCCCAGAAACCACAAGAACCGGCGGCATTTTTCAAACTGTGGTCGGCTGATGCCTGATTATCGAATTGATGTATAAGTGAAGAGCGATGGACAACCACGGAGCGTGCGCGCATACATACAAAGAAGAATGACCTCGAAATGCCAAGTAAGCTAGGGCACATCGACAATGGGTTTCACGTGGTCCGGTTAAACAAGCTGGGCAGTTGACTTGTGCATGACCAGGCCACCACCACCACCATCATCATAACAGTCACAGAGCGTGCGCGCATACATACAAAGAAGAATGACCTCGAAATGCCAAGTAAGCTAGGGCACATCGACAATGGGTTTCACGTGGTCCGGTTAAACAAGCTGGGCAGTTGACTTGTGCATGACCAGGCCACCACCACCACCATCATCATCAACAGTCACAAGGCCGAACCATGAAACAAGTTCGGCACGGTATTGCCACAATCCAGTTTAGGCAAATCTTAAGCGGCAAAAGAAATTGCTGGGAAGTGATAATTACGCCGGGAAGTTCACTGGTCGGCAGCACACAATTCTTTCGGTAGGGCAGAAGGAATCGAGAGGATATCTTATATCAGAGGCGACGTCGTCCGGATACTACCTGACCGATGCGACACGAAACCGCGTAATGTCGGGTACCGGAGGTAAGATTCCTCGTGCACACACACACGCACACACACACACACACACACACACAATTTCAGCAACAGTTGGCCCACCGATCAACTGGTTCACACGCCAGAGCAATTGACAGCCAACAGCCGGAACTTATGACTGTGGTAAAGATGAGATGTGCCGCACAGCGGATCACCGACTGACGCTAGTTCTGAGGGGCTGGTGGTCCACGTGAACGTGGAAAACCGCCAATGACACGGTGCCTTTAATTTGAAAAGTTAGATAGAAAACAAGCCGTTTAAAAAACGCTCAATCAAACCAGAACAGATGCAACAAAATTTATACACCCAGCAAGACCCAGAGAGAAAAGAAAGAGAATGAATCATATCTCCACAAAAGTGTGGTCCGTTCATTTCATAGACAGGATTCTGCATTAAGAAATATTTTTTTTCCTCATGGAGATCCTAGTGTCCAGCTCACTGATCACATCGAAGTTTGGCTTCGGCAATTAGATTGCGAACAAATGTGGCGAGCACACGTGACTGAGCACACGATGGGCCACCAGGTGCCAAGATGAAAGCCAGTACTGACTTCTCGGATGCCTCTGAATAATTTGATTCCATTCGCGACGGATCTTGTGAAGTTTTCACGTCGAACGCACCAGAAGTAATCGTACAGCGGGATAAATAAATGTGAACCCGGACCGACGAGGTCGGTGAATAGAACATGCTTGTTTTGATTCGCTGCTACATATCCTACTGCCTCTGTAAAACCAGGACATGTTCACACACAGAGCTTCTGAGGAAGACTCTGTTAGCAAACGGCGTTTCGTAGCTTTGTAAAGATGTCTCAAAGACGCCAGATTGTCAACACTCAATGGGTGTTGCCGAACAAGACGAAATATGCCAATTTTCAGAGAAGCATTTTACCGGACTTGTAAAAAAAAGTGTTAAGTACCTAGAGCTAAATGTACAGGAAAACAACTCACAAAACTGGGACATGGACGCATGCACTTAAAATAGTAGAGAATGTAGACTTTACAGTTAGAAAGTAAAGTCTTGGGTCGGGACCATAGTTTTTAGAGACGAAGGTCCAGACCGTTCAGCTGTAGCACCCTTTCGGCGCCTGGCTACCATGCCACCCGAAGGAAGCATGAGGGCTGGGATACTGTCAGGTTGCCCAAGCCTAGACAGGGGAAGTCGAGAGGCAGAGGTCGGATTCGAACCATGGACCTTCCGGTCAGTAAATTCGCGCTCTAACCACTTGGACCGTCTCGCCACGAAGGTCCAGGGGAACCAAAGTACACCAGTGCTCGTTTAGGGAAGCTTGCGAAGAAATTTTTGTGGTTTAACGCGTAAAAGGTGGTAACGTTTGTGCAGCACCGTGTTGAGATCTGTGCAAGCTCTCGGTTTGTCGATTTATCAAGGTTTCAACGGGGGAATTGGGGCATATATTACTATGAGAACAGCATTCGAGTACGGTTTTTGATGACAATGAGATCAACGGTCTACAGACAACTGCGGTTCAAAAGTGGCAAGAATGGAAAAAATGACTACACAGAGTCACCGGGTCTTCAAAAAAATACATCTACGTCTCTGTCAGGACAAACTTGAGGACAAATTCACTCCGATATATAAAGAGATAGTGGGCCAGAGTAGAGGTTGTAAGTTATCCAAATATCGGTCAGTTGGATAAGTAAGCGCAATCCCGGCTCACTTGCCTGAATACAGATAGGAGGAAGTAATTTGAAATCAACAGCAGGTAGCGTAGTTACCTGCTGGAATAAGCCCTATAAAAGTTGATATCATTAGCTTAATGAAAAAACGTGATTGAGACGTCAACCAATGTAAAAAAAACACTGACAGAAACGCTCTTCGAGGTACGCCACATTCGGGTGCAATCGAGGTTAACCTTTGCCACCGACCCATATATAAGAGTGATTGAAGCATCAACACTACGAAAATCTGAGACCAACGGGAACCTATTTGCTTCTTCCGTCGAGTGTCCCCGAAAATTTGATGCGATAAGTAAGCAAAAGCGCTTGTGGTTCTGAATTTTTAGGATTGTAAGCAAATATCCGGGATTTCGTCCTGCAAGTGAAGCCATTCTATGCTGAAAGGCCGAGACGCATTGTACGGTTGATTTATCCACCAGCAGTGCGCACCTCGCGAAACACCATGGGGACTAGAACGCACGACCTCCCGTCTAGTAATTGACCGCTCGGCTACGAGCGGATACGGAACGGTTCTCGGTTTTGCCTCCATAGGGTGGAATCTCTAATTGCCTAATTTTTTCACACTACCAACAAACTTAGAAGTGCCCAGCGAGAATCGTACGACGACAGGCATTAACCCCTCTAACGAACTAAGCAAGACTGTGCACGAAATGGGACGGTGTTTTAGTGGAACCAAAAGATGACTTGGGTGTGGGCGTACTTCTGGAGGAAAACGATGTATTTAGCTGATCGACATCACCCAAGGATGTCTGCTGCGTTTTCTGATCCGGAGTTTCATTTTGTATAGAATTCTCGGCCAGAATAGTGAGTGTTCTGGAGGAAAACGATGTATTTAGCTGATAGACATCACCCAAGGATGTCTGCTGCGTTGCCCCCATGTTTGTGTGCGCATTCATTAAGGAGGCGGGGTTTCTCAAGCGATTTCGAAGTAAAACGATCCGGGTTGGTAAATACGGTCCCCAGAGGACAGTGCAAATCAAAACAGAGCACTGTGCAAGTTGAGAGCATATAGCAACGTGTGGATAATGGGTGTTATCATCAGGGCCTGTAAATCCAGTTATCTCAAGTGTCAGGCGAGGGCATTTCAACTTCTCGGAGCCTACATTTCGCCTAAAAGTAAGCCGTTTCTTGGTGCACATCAAGAGTCGTTATTGTTTTCGAGTATACCTTGGGCAGAAGTCTGATCATGCAACGGCGAGACGGCTCAAGCGGTTAGAGCGCGAATTTACTGACCGAAAGGTCCGTGGCTCGAACCCGACCTCTGCCTCTCGACTTCCCCTGTTTAGGCTTGGGCAACCTGACAGTATCCCAGCCCTCGTGCTTCATTCGGGGGGCATGGCAGCAAGGCACCGAAAGAGCGCTACAGCTGAACAATTATTATTATTATTATTTATTTTATACCTCAACAACAGTGACTTACGTCGATGAATGTAATCGAGTAGGTCGTCTACAAATAAGCGGTTGAGACGGACCTGAATTGGAGTTGCGAACCAAGTTGTCAGGCAAGGGATTAATCAGACTGAGTGAAATCATTCCAGACTACGGAGAACCACAAAGTTCCCACAAACTTTCTGAGGTCTGTTTATGGGGGGGGCGTCTACACATTGGCTACAATAACAGGCCTGTGGTGGCTGAGAAATTCCCGCTTGCATACAATGGTGAAGTGTGACGGAGAAGTGTGAGTTTGAAGTTGCTATTCGATTTCTATAAAACGTTCACATAAGTGGATACACTACCTCCGGTCTGCTTGGGTGTCAAGTCTCGGTCAGCTTGCATGTGCGAAGACTACCCAAAAGGAAGATCGCCCCGTGCACAACCAATACCCTTGAGTCCACGAAAAGTGATGCAGGTTAGCGGACGAATCTCGTATTGATTGAAAACATACACCGGAATGGATATTTCCCACATTTCCCTTCTGAAGTGTCACCTGCCATTCGGCATAAAGCGTGTATTTTGTCGCTTCTGTCATGTTGCTTCGGCTCAAACATTTTCCAAGCCAGGCATCAAAAGTATCAGGCCTTCAAGTGACAGTATGGGAACACTATGCGGACTCAAAAATGGAACCAATCAAGTGTTATTTGTATCAGAATTCGGGGTGTGAAGACTGATTAGTTGAAAATGACTGCAACAGATGAACGGTCAATTTTTCCATCTAAGCTACCTGGTCGTATGTACACCCGCCTTCTAAAACCTTCCATTCGCTTCGCATCGATCCAGCTTTGCCTTCGGTATATCCGAACGCGCGGACAAAAAACGAATTGACAAGGACTATGCCTGCGTGTTCGGACCAGTAATCCTGACACCATGGGTGCGTGTGCGTCTGAATGTGGTTTGTACAGAACGCACACCTGAATCAGGACGCTGTTCATAGCACGCTGTGTCATAGCACGCAAAAAAATGATACCATTGAGTGTTGTAACAACTTTCAACTGCACACGTTTGGCAACCAGGACCTGAGCGGAAAGTTAACCGTGGCGGCCTGTTGGTCGGAGATTGCTACACCTGTCCAGCAAGACCAGCAATCGTTAAAATCACAAACTGGTTGTAAAACCGAGCGGCAAGTAACCGATTAGGCCGAGCAGCATTTGTTGAATCGACACAATCGGTGCCTAGCTACCATACCACCAGAAGGAATCACGAGAGCTGAGATACTGCCAGGTTGCCCAAGCCTAGACAGGAGAAGTCAAGGTGCAGAGGTCGGGTCGGAACCACAGATCTTCCGGTCAGTAAATTTGCGGTCTAACCACTGAGCTATCTCGCTTCGGCCATAAAGTTACAAACCAAAACAACATAGAGAAAGATGCGTAGGAAACGGTACAATTTGGAGTGAGGGTTGATACGGATTGGTCGTAGGGTGCTTTCTGACAACTGAAACCTGGGTGATTGTTTACTACCTACATATGCGAAGACAACTCCTCTAGGGACCAAGATCCAATAGGGACTGCTGCTGGTCGGGCCTGTCGGGTTCCTGCTATGATCTAAATGCAACGAAATCAAGGTATCCAGCGGAAGGTATGTGGTTCGAACCCAACCTCTGCTTCTCCTATCTAGGGTTGGGCAACCTGGCAGTATCCCAACCCTTGTTACTATCCAACAAAAAGGTTCAAATGGGTCGTTAATCGTTAGCAAGCATATCAACTTTCTGATTGGAGGGATTATGTGACAGAATACCTGACAGAATACCATCATCCACCAAAATTCATCCGAGTGTGTGGTCTGAAAAGTGGCTGGGCTCCAGTACTGGATCTGATCGCTGTAGCGTGATACCTTTTCAAGGTTTTGTACTTTTAGGTTTTCCTTGGCAAGTACTCATTCGCTGAAACACGCAGTTATCGGGCCACTCACTATGATGGCCGCGGCACTCAATGATCTCGTCAACAAACCGAACACTTTCACGGAGAATCGGATACTCCTGATAAGGCACGTGGTTGTGTTTCGATATGGCCTTAATTGGTGAAGTATGGTTGAGTGACACAACTGATGAGTAAACGATACGGCGAACATGCTTCACCATGCGTTACAGACCACAAGTTTGAAATGTGCGCGATCTGGCGGGATAACTTCAGTGAATTAGACAAATGACGCAACTGGTTAAATGACGTAGAAATATCCAGGCCACTCTCATTTGCATAGCAACGAACACAAAACTCCGTGCACATTAGGGTGCAACCGTGCCCTTCCGAGTTGACGATCGTCGAAGACTGCCGGTGTTTACGACGCAATCTGACAATGTGTTGACCGGAAAGGTCCCCGAATGAATCTGTCAGCGAAAGCTGCACATAATACGTTTTTCTGAAACGATTCACTGCCCGTGCCTTCAGTTGTCCGGTATGACGAAGCTAAGCACTGGCTAACGACATCATACCAATTGACCATCATCACTTTTCGCCAGCAACCGCCATTCGGAGGAGGGCATAGTGGCAATGAAAATGGATGGATGTTCCCCTGATGAGAAACTTCTGTTTCGGTAGTGACTCAACCTCTGGATTTCCCAGGCGTCGCACGGTAAGAAAGTGTCATAATGACGGAAGAGCGAACGAGACGACCTGGCGTCATGAAACCAAATAACGGCCGNATGAGGGAAGAGCGAACGAGACGACCTGGCGTCATGAAACCAAATAACGGCCGGTGTGTGACTCAAGGGTGAATACAGTGAATGAACAGGAGTTTTCGGAAAGAAATGATCACCGAAAGTAATAAAGAACGTACTCATATCGCCCGTTAGCTTGCCATTGTTTGGCATCACGCAGAAGCATTGTCTGTTCGTTTTGACGAGCCGCAACTGGATCGATACCCTGTGATTCCATCGCCTCGTTGAGCAAACTGGTGACTGCGTCATTCTGAGACACGTCAACGGGCAATTCCATATCACAGCTGAGTAGGGCGAGATTAGCACCATTGTCCACTAGAAGCCTGGAGATTTGGGGGGAAATGTGAGGCCAAAGTGTCGGATAAATGTGGCCAGTCATAGTGTAACAAGACTAACAAAAATCCCTACATGTACAATTGGCCAAATCGAATGAGGTTCCCGCAAAGACAAATACGGAATCCCAGTGGTCATACTGCCAACAGAAGGAAAAAACTAACAGGTCCTGAAAGTGTCGGTAGCTCAGGTAGCGTAGACGGTCGCTGGCTTGTTCGCTGAGCTGGGCAATTTGATCGTAAACGTGGTTGTGTCTACAACCAGTAACCCACCGCTACGCATTACTACGCTCTCCAATAACGCGCTGATGATATCACCTTGATTGGTGATGAAACGTTTGCAATCAAACTGCCCAGCTCAGCGAACAAGCCAACGACCAGGTCCTGAAAGAATAACAATTGGGGCCACAGAAACCCCAAAAGTTCCTATGTGGGAGTGCAAGTTTCGGAACAGAAATTTTTTGCGTTTCTAGCCTACTTCTTGTTCATGCACAGGTGACTCAGCTGCGTAGTTTTCCATCCCCTAACCTGTGGTGACCTGCAAAACTTTTCATAGGGATCAACGAACTAATATAAATTGATAGCATTTATGTCATTATGCAATTCGTCCATAAAGGAGAGTTGAAGTCGTGTTGGAAGGTTTACACATCATGTGTGAAACAATCCCACGCGTCACCATCATTGGTAGCGCAGATATTTACCAGTTGATATCACGGATTTGGGTATGCTGTACCAGATTTGAGGTCGAGCGGTTGCCCGGATAGCCAACTTGTTTCACCGACCCGTGTTCGAACCCCAACCTTTGAGGCATCAGATTAGTTGCCAGGCTCCACAGTGAAAATTGAGGAGACTAATTGTTTCACGTTGGTAACAACCGTCCCTTCATATCTTGTCCAAAAAGTGGGTCCCCGTCTAGCCGATCAACATTATGAATCTTTGAAACCTTTCTACCGGCAAACACGTTTAAGTATAGGCCCCATAGTAAAAAACGATAATATTTCCCACTACATCGAACTCCGTAGCGCCGAAGCTGGGGGGATGATATTTAGAACAAGAAGAAACCAGTGATTATGTTCAGGGGCCAGGACCATCCGAAGGTGTCCTAACGTTTAAACAGAGAAACCCGAATCCTTTTTGGACAACGAAAACGTATGCTCGTTTTGACAAGTCAATAATCTGAATTGTTCGGCGGTAACACCCTTTCGGTACCGAGCTGCCATGCAGTCCAAAGAAAGCACAGGGCTGAGATATTGCCAGGCTCACAAGCCCAGGCGCAATAGCGATGCTGAGGTTGGGTTCGAACCACGGACCTCACGGTTGCGCCTTAGCCACTTAACTGTATCGAGCTCCAAAGCAACCCAGGAGTGATCGGGGACTAGACACGAAGTGTGGACGATTCTAGTAAGCAGCTCATGGCAAACCCAGTTGCGGAGATCATAACTACCGAAGTGCTCAATTTAATACATTCAGGTCTTCACTTTTTTCCATGAATCAATTTCGAAGCAGAAGCGGCTAACGGCATTAAACAAAAAGGGATAAGGCCTCACGCGAACAGAAAACAGATGAAGACCAAGGGAGTTGAAAAACAGCGGTCACTTGTGAATTATGGTGGCGTGGTGTGGTGGAGATAGCCGGTATTTGTGTCAAATGATGCACCAGGCTACTAGTTCACTGCTTTCTACCAAGAACCGGAAAATATCACCAAAAGGCCAAGTAGGCCTCAATGATCCATGATCCAGCTAAGAGCTAGTAAACAGACGATCACCCATACCGCTGTTTGGACGAACTGAACTACAAACCTGGATGGCGCAGTGAATAACATGGGCTTGCATGTGCACGACCCGGGTTCGACCCACGAATAGCTTCGAACTGGTTGTCGACGCCCACCCTAGTAAGTTATGCATTCGTTGTTTCACCAACAAAGACGTAAGGACCATTGCTCTTTCCGCACGCAGTGCAAACGGTTCGACACCGAAGGCTGCAGGATCTAGAGTTTCAAAGGGGCCGAACTCCCCAGGAATTCTAAGTCTCAAGCATAGACCCCCGTGGAGTCACAGTACACGTCAAATGTATTGTTGTTTAACTGCGTGCGATATGGTACACTTGCCAGCCCTCTAAGTGGAATGAACCCACCAGAGTAAAAAAAACCGCAGACAGCATCCGATGCATAGGGTGGAAATTTTACGCCAGCAGAATCGCTATTATAGGAATGATTGGCAAAGACCTACAGACGTCACCAAATCGACTGCCCACGCACACAATGGACTGTATTATCGGGCACGTATAGCCCCTACAATTTAAGTTGATCCACGAATCATCAAGCGTTATTCCAAAACTTTCATACTACCAAACGCACACTAGGCCAGATCGAGAATTGGCTAATGCGGCAAGAAATCCACGATTGTCGTCTGATCGATGGACCCGACAGAAGACGATAAACCATACACAACCAACGAGAAAACAACCCTGTTGCATTGTAATGCGCGCACAGAATACCGCAGGTCACGCCGACAGCGAAATCACGTGGACAAAGCAGAACGTAGTTACTTGCACACAAGATGGGTGGGTGTAAGCGAGTGCGTGCATACGTGCGCGCACACGCAATGCATACCAATAGATGAACGGTTGTTAATCGATATTCTAGTCAACGTAGGGTGGCAAAAGGTGGCAAAAACTAGCCATCTGACGGAGACGCAGGGATATTCACGCTCAGTCGATTGGGACAGTTTAGGTACGAGACTTTGAACCGAGTTTGAACGACCAAAATCGAAACCCCACAGAGGATTGAAGAAAATTCAACAAAATTACTCAAAACTCAGCGAAGAAATCAACCTTTAGAAGGATGGAGAGCCAATGGTCAGGGGGGCTTCAGTGAAATAAAAAACGGAAGAGCAACACATACGCAGGAGATATCAGGGACAGCCGGTAGGATGCAAGTGAAGTCTGCAAGGGAGAACACTTAAAATGAATATTGAAGTCCATTACCGAAGGCAGGAATTGGACACGCCCAAACGACTTGTTTTGAAGATCTACCCAGTGGCAACTGTTTGAAAAAGTCCACCAAAACTGAGTATGGTCATTCAAGCAGAACCTTCGTATTTTGTATTTTTTATGATATATTGGTGAATTTCATACTGCCTAAGCGTAATAATCCACTTACTGATTGGCTACGAGTCGCTGATTAGTAGACTGAGTGACTCGAAACACGCTCATTACTGATTGTTCCCAATAAGGACTCAATACCTATATCGGAATTCTCAGATCCACCTTGTATGACATTTTTGCGAACACAAGCTCATATCGGGGGAACGAGTTGGACTCACATTGAAACAGAATTGCTACTAACCGATGATAGAATACCAGGTGAGCTGTTATTGTTGTAATAAGTGAACTTTTGGTCAGTGGAACCCTTTCAGCAGGTAACTGCCACGTAACCCGAAATGAGCACCTGGGGTGAGGTCCTAGCGAGACGAAAGCGATCATGCAGTGCTGGATTTGAACCGCGAACCTGTGCGTTTGTAGCTCGGGCTTTAACTTCTGAGCTGTCCCGGGCGTTTCATCGACATAGGACATTTTTATTGTTAGGGGAATTGTGGTAGTTCGTTGTAAAGTCTAGTGATGGGTATCAGCGCGCTCGTTCTCTCACACGTTGTACTATGGGGAAATTCAAGGAATCTGGATTTTACCAATGCCTACTGGCAGTTCTCTGTTCGAACGACAAAACAACTTGCTCCTCTTAGTACAACAAGACGTCATAATGAAGTTCAATGAAGTAAAATTAGAATGTCGTCGGTATTTGTGTGATTGTTTGTCCCACCAATCAGCCTCGAGAGAATGCTACAAGGCAGAATCATTACATCTACGTGTGGGTGACATGCCGGCATGCCTCGTTAAATGAGGCAAGTGCGATGCAGTCGTCATGCTGCCAGCGGCTAAATGCCGTGCGACATAGGTCTTGCCGCCACATGTGTAAATCCTTGTGAGAGTCTAACAGATTTTTGCTATCGAAACATTTCAACTGGGTTCCTTCCGGAGACCGCAACAGAGAAACACCATGATTCCGAAAACAACAGTTGGTACGGTGTAACGAAATCTACAGTACGCACCTCAAAGTGGAAATCCTGCGGACTAAAACTACATGGATCCTCGAATTAGTGTGTCCTTCGAATGTGGTTCAGTGACCAATAGTAATGCGTGAGTATCAGGCCCCAGCAAACTTCTGTGGCAGGCAACCAAGACTCCGTAATGCAGACCCAGATGCCAACACCAAACACGACTGATAACCAGACTAGACTGACTGATATCGTCAGGATTATGTGCTCCTAGGACATTGATAGTGAATTTCAGGACGTCATTAATGCTAGTGACAGCAACAGACGGGCGCTAGCCTGCAGTACAACCTTAATAAAAAACGGAAGGACCTAGTGCAAATAGCATGGCTATAAAAAACAAATATTGAGACAAACATATCTGGAAATTATACCGGAGAAAGGTGGCATCAGTGAAACAGGTTTGCGGCATCTTTGTGGCCTCACCAAACATGGAACGAAAAACTTCGATGAGACAGTCTTTAGGAGGAGTGAGCACAAGGTTCTCACGAAACAAATGGTGTGGACCCCAGTCCGATTGAAGTGATCCCACTGCCCTCAATTCTGAGAAAGCCACATTCATCTCACACAGCAATGTCAATGCGCATTCATCACGAAACTTTTAAAACTCGTACTTCTGTCTGTATTGAACTTGAATAAAGAAGCACATGGAAAAAGAAAGGACAACTTCTGATATCCTATTGGAGGCTAATTCAGCAGGGCGCTCACTGTCAAAATCATGCGACAAGCAACATTATGAACGTGAGTCGGTGGTCTGCACCACGCCGCTCAGGTGTCGTCATCGTGATCCCATCCAGTGAAAGGCTTATGTTCTGTTCTCTCACCAAGGCGTTACGACAGAAATAACCGCATCTTTCGAGCCATCTAGTTGGGCATAGAAAAGTAAACTCACGAGTGTCCAGGTTAAACAGTAGAATTAAACAAATTCAGAGGACATCACCATTGGTGACTGAACATGTACCTTTGCGAAAACACTGTAACGTACTCCTTTACTCCAAAGAACACAGAGAAATGATGTCAGTCGATCAGACATTTAAGGACTACTAGCGAAAAATTATCTGGCCGATATTTTACAGATCAGTGGCAAACCGATAGGTACGGTTGCATGGAAAAGAAACTGCAACAATGGGCTGAGAAAATTTTCAGGATTAATGACATGCAAAACAGACAATTAATTGCACAATTGTGAACAAAAGTGAAATCCTCAGATTGCAGATCATGAATAATAGTATTCCATGGTACGACCGGAACACAATGAAAATCCTGAAGAAACTGTCTTATTTTCAGTCCTAATGAATAAAAGTTACCTTCCAAGATGTGGAAGCCAGCGCTATTTGAAAAACGAGGCACTTGAACAGCTTAGGTGAGAGGCAAACCCAAATAATTGAACGAGAAGATACATAACTTAACTGTGCCTCAGTGAATAGTCGCCTCTGAACTGTCCAGCCACTCGGGTCGATTGGGACTAACGTGACAAACGGTTTGTCTGCAGAGTTGTCTACACACAGAGTGTCAGACAAGGTTGTGCTCTATCGCCCTTCCCCTTAGTTTCCTAATCGATGAGCTGCCTGAGTTGACTTTAACTGACTCTTTCTCAGGGATCGAAACACATTCGGGTAGGTCATTCAGATAGCGAACACGTTGACGATATTGCGATTCTTAAATCAGGTGCTTTAGGAAGGTGAACTACTTTAAATAGCCTAAATAAGTATGTTGGTCGATTCGGCATCCGCTGGGCACTTGGAGGGCGTAGAGGGCTACTGCGAGAGCGGGATCGAAATCCAACTGTCAGATGACGAAATCATTTCCAGAATTGGGAAGGCCAGGACAGCTGTCGTCATCGTGATCCCATCCAGTGAAAGGCTTATGTTCTGTTCTCTCACCAAGGCGTTACGACAGAAATAACCGCATCTTTCGAGCCATCTAGTTGGGCATAGAAAAGTAAACTCACGAGTGTCCAGGTTAAACAGTAGAATTAAACAAATTCAGAGGACATCACCATTGGTGACTGAACATGTACCTTTACCAAAACACTGTAACGTACTCCTTTACTCCAAAGAACACAGAGAAATGATGTCAGTCGATCAGACATTTAAGGACTACTAGCGAAAAATTATCTGGCCGATATTTTACAGATCAGTGGCAAACCGATAGGTACGGTTGCATGGAAAAGAAACTGCAACAATGGGCTGAGAAAATTTTCAGGATTAATGACATGCAAAACAGACAATTAATTGCACAACTGTGAACAAAAGTGGGCGGAGCAGGAAGCCAAGGGACCGACACAGAGTTGCACTACCGTACATCAAAACACAACAGGTCGTCAACTTCGGACAACTGTAGCACCAACGTCACATCAACTGGCGGTCGAGGGTAGAGTGCACAGTGCGTCGATGTGACCTGTCCTAAATTATGGATTGGAGACGTCGCCGCTGCGAGCAGGTCTTCGGAGACTTTGTGTGTTTGACCACTGGTGCCTCCGAAGTACTGTGCGGTTCTGGTAGAAAAATTATATCACCAATGCTCAGGTACGTAAGGTGGTTTTCAGGAAAAGTAACGCGCCTTTGATAGACCAGCAGGATACACTTCATAGGCTACGCTATTTAGGCCATGCACTTCGCACGCCATATGCCCGCGTGCCTCGCATAGCCCAATCTGCCCAGCCATGCATCGGACAGGGAGAACCCAGGTGTTTAGTCCATTAATTGGTAACGAAGCATGAAAGACCTCACTAGTCAACTCCGTCGTGCTGATAACTGCTGTCTGCCCGGATGGGGACGAGACAAACCAATGGTTAATGAACCTGACAGACATGACTGCGTTACACAGCCAATGACGCTCCCGCATCAAAGCTATCACCATCACTGCGCACCTATGAACTCTTGCCATGGTATGGCAGTTAGGCACCCAAAAGGCGTTACAACTGAACGATTTTTTATACTGAAGAAACAGATTTGGTTATCGCCTCCAAAGCGCGGCTGTGATTCCCTTATCATCCTTATCAACGGTAAGTGAAGCTGCAGCAGCCTGAAATAATGCACTTTGGCGAACGGTCAGGCGACTTTGATTCACAGGGAAACCTATGGTCACCGGTGTTCGTTCAGATGGGTACAGAAAGATACCTTTCAGGCTGCTAACCTCCTGTGTAAATCGATCATCAATATTATCGCTGACAACAACACCAAAGAACATTGGTGCTCTAAAGCCGCACAAACAAGTCAATTTTCTTGAATAATAACAGGTTCAACTGTAACATCCTTCCGGTGCATAACTGCCATATTATCCGAGGGAGGCAAGGGGGCTGAGATAATACCAGGTTGTTCAAACGTAGACGGGAACAGTAGAGACGTCGGGATTGTTTTAAGATCAGTAAGTTGAAGCCTTAACCACAGAGCTATCTAAATATATGGATCAGCCTGACTAAAAGCTAGTTTGATCCAGACGCATGGTAACCCGAGATAACAGGATGTACGTAGAATGAACTGGAAATTCGTAAGAGGACTCAAAGCGGCAGTAGTGGACTGCGGTAAGGCTACAGAACAAAGAATTGCGCGCGTGGCATTGTACGGAAGTCCTCCGTACAGCTTCCTTTTCAATTTTATTTAAACGAGTGAGCCGGGCAAAGACATTTTTCAATCACTCAGCAAACAGATTACGCTACTTCCATATTCCGAAGCGTCTGCTACAATAATTGAAAATTGAGGGCCTAATGAATTGAAGATAAAGTGAAGGTATGCAGATGCCCTAAACTCCTCCACCTCCGGTAGTTTGAGAGTGGCCTTATCAGGAGAAAGCATGATTTCATATTCCTTTGAGAAGTCTCACTCAGTACATTGAGAATTTTGCAAGGAGGTTATTTGCTTCATAAATAATGAGTGGCGCAGTAGCTCACCGAACCGGAGAAAACTTGTAGCTACCGATGGGTTGGGATGAGCATTCATGTAGTGACCCCAATATTTCTCGATTCAGTTCTACGTTTTTTGTTGTCAATAAAGGGTTTGAATTAAGATAATCGTAAATCACTTTCCTAGACACAAACTGGATACGAGGCTTCCGATTCAACCGAATACTCGCATAAGGTGGTCCAAGTGTTCGTAGACTAAATTCACGAGCGCTGCCATCACCGTCACCAATCACACTGATGCTTCACTGCCGCACGAACACGAAGTTCATTTAATTGCCTTCGAAATCAAAAAAAGTAAATAAGGACATGGAAGGGAACTGGCGTTGGCCTACCGCAAGCAAACCGAGGACCTTACACCTCTGAACACACGGTCAGGCAATCTGGAAGACGAATGACTGCACGAGGGCCACTGTCATTAATAAACTAATTTTTCGCCCGAGTGCGGTGAGAGGTTACGTGGGCCCATCCTGGAAGGCGAACTGCCCCAACGAAATTCAGTCATCGTAATCCTCTCGTCATCAGAGTATGCAGTAGCGAAGGACATACATGAGAGCTAAACGATAATGAGTGAAGGATGAGTACATTGGCATAAGCCGCAGTGCTGGTTAGTGGTTGAAGTTTACGAGCAGAGCAGTGTACTCCCCCTTAGAAACAGGCGTGGGGGGCGGCAGGAAGTTTCCCTTTCTTTCTCTACCTCTCCATGTCAACCAGGCTACAAGGTCAGCATCACGCTAAGTTCCACTTGACACCTGATAAGGTTAAGGTTGAACAAGGTTCGCGATTGGTGGTGACCTTTCCCCTGGATTCAGGAAGTGCCACCGTTCAATCTGATATCCAGTGCTTGAATTAAGCTGGCGGTGGCGTACCGAATGTGAAACTCCCAGCACTGCACAAAGATGTGTGGGTTCCAGTGTAAGCTGATATCGGAAAGAGAAAGAAAGCGTTTAGCTGTAGTACCCTTCCGGTGCCTAGCTGCCACGTCGCCCGAAGGAAGCACGAGGGCTAGGATAATGTCAGGTTGCCTGGACAGGGGAAGTCGAGTGGTGGAGGTCGGATTCGAACCACGAACCTTCCGGTCAGTAAATTCGCGCTCTAACCACTTGGACCATCTCGCCCCATCAGTCGGTACGGAAGTCGGAGGAGTCCAGGAGACGGCTCCGATCGGAATCCACGAGTAGTCCACCTTATCGGTGGCTACGAAGAGCAAACAGAGAGGGAACTCCGGACGTGAGCATGGGCACAATCCACACAAGCCTTTCAAACAAAGCGACAGTAGATTATTCATCCATACAACTCGTAAGTGATGGCGATGCGATCGATTCGGGTCGGTGGCTGACAGACCATTTGAAGACATCATATTGCCAAGTAACTTGGGTTATTCCAAAAGTTAGTACCGCAAGAGAACAGTATATGGAGCGATCATTCAGCTCTGAGTACGACAGTTGTAACGGTGATTTGGATGAAGATTGGATAAAGGTGAAATAATCCATGCTCACAGCGTACTGCTTATTGTAATCTTCAAGCCACGTGGCCAATTGGTTGACGCTAATCAAGCGACTCTATTCCCGTGTCCGGAATGAGGAAAGGATATCGACAGAAAAGGGAGACTCGACAACGGTTCCCATGTTTAAGAAGGTGCAAGAACATCAGCAGGAAAAAATCAGGGATGCCAGTCTAGTGGCTACAGCTTCCAGGGTGTTCTCTTGCAGGTTGAGCCATCATCCGGAGACTCAAGTTGGCGAGAACCAAGCCGGGTTTCGCTCGGTGCCGGGGTGCATCGACATACGTTAGAACTGAGTTACTCCTTTCGACGACCAATAATGGTCACATCTCACGACCTCCAATCTACTTTTGACTCCATGGATCACCAGAAGCTGTGACAATGTCTAGTCGGCGAGATGAACCACCTCCTCGTGGTGCCGACCGGGTAGCCTGGACGTCTGTCTGGGTGAGCTAAGAGTTCAGCAACTCCAGAAAGGGCCAACCACTCCGTTTGGTTTCAATATGCTGGTTACTTTCGACAATGTATACTACGAATCATCTGGCGCCTCCGCACCAGTTCCAACCAGTACACAGGAGAGACTCGTTGGGTTCACGTGTGAGGAATGTGGCAAGTGCTGCAAATCGAAAGCTGGCTTTGTAGCCCATCATCGAGTTCACGACAATGAAAGTGTTGGTACGAACACAGTCGCCCA